CTGCGCCGCGCGCCTCCGCCGCTCCCGCCGCGGCCGCGTAGTACGAGACGAGACGGGAGAAAACAAGCGGAGACGAGCCCTTTTCTCGGTTGCCCAATATGGCGATTGAGGCTGACGAAGAGAGCAATGATTGACAGCACGAGTCTATTTAAACAGCGGAGCGGGGCCATTGGCTGCGGCGGCGGCGCCGCCCCGTCGGCGCGGACCGTTCTCGCCGCCGCCGCCGCCTCTAAAGGTGGCCCCGGGCCCGGCCCGGCCCCGCGCAGCGCCGCGGCACGACACGACACACGGCACGACACGCGGGGTCCCGCGGGACGCGCAGCTTCCCCCCCCCCCACACACACACACACACCAGCCAAGGGCGGGCTGGGCCAAGCCCCCCGGCCCCCGCAAAACCCCCTCAGCCTCCGCAAACCCCTCCGGCTCCCGCAAAACAAAACAGAACAGAACACCCCGCCGCCTGGCTGGAAGGGCTGAAGCGAGAAATAAGTGGTAGCAGCTAGTTACATTTTGACTCGTTCTTGCGACGGGAACGGCCCGTGGCCGCTCTCCCCGGGCGCCCCGGGCTCCGGCGCTGCAGCAGCCCAGGGCTGCAGTTGAAGGCGGGCCCGGGGCGCACAGGGGGCTCTGCCCCCCACCCGGCGCGTGCAGGGGGGCTGCTCCCCTTCCCAAGAGCACCCCAGCCCAGCCCTCTGCAGAGCCGGGGTGGTGGCTCTGCGAGGAGGCAGGGAGCGGAGAATAACCCCTTGCTGCCCTGTCCTCCCTGCATCGAGAGACTGGGTGAAGAAATGGCTCTAAAAACCTCTGCTGGCATTTCAGACCTCAGCAAGCAGGGGAAAGAAGACAAAAGCATTAGTTTTCATCCCTGCTTGTGTGCACTGGAGATTAGATGAGCCAAGAATCACAGCCAGGGATTTTCTGAGATACTTCCTCAGTTGGCTGTAGCAGGTAAAGTGGAGATAAGAGACGCACAGTGTCCTCCTCTATACCCTGCCCTACTCCAGCCCATTCCTCAGCCGCCTCCCTTCCCTAGGCAGAGCAGCCCCTTGGACACGGTGCAGGGCGCTGCCCGTACCCCAGGATGCTGCTGCCTACTGCCGAAGGCCCTGGGGCTCCTCACACCAGTCCATCTGCCAGTTTCTTCTCTGCTCTGCAAGGTGCCCAACCCTCTCCAATGCTCGCTTCTGCAAAGTTTGCAGCTGTGACAAATTATTTCAGTGAGGTGGAAGTCAGTGCAACAAGGTGTGACTAGCTGAGTGAACAGGGTCAACTGATTTGGCCTCAAAGACATTGAGGTGTTGACCCTGTCCTGGTCAAACATGCCTACAGTGGTTTGGGCTCCTCTGTCTTGATGGGCCACTGAAACTCAGATTGCAATTGCTCTTGAAGTGATGAGCTAAATCTGCAGACACTGGGAGAGGGAATGTAACAGTTACACAGGGCTCAAGGCCTGGCAAAGCAGTCTGCCAGCCTGCTGCAATCGTGAGGTAGCAGCCCCCGGCCCTTGCTCAGCCTCCTCTCCCCAGCTTTGAGTTCTGAAAATGATGTGTGCAGCGGAAAAGGAGAGGAGAGGAGAGGAGAGGAGAGGAAAAAGAATGAGATTGGTTTAAAACCCACAAGGTTGAAGTAAAATATTAGCTATGTTATTTCTATTTGTTTGCCTTTTTTAGCACTCAGAATTTGTTTTCTGACTTCTCTCAGCAACCGCAAGTTCTAGCGACTCACTTGCAGAAAATTAAAGCTGACATTCTCATGTGGGCATGTCTGCATGATCTCAAAGAGTTTTCTTGAGGTTGCAACTCTATGGTAAAACTGCATGAGCTGGCAAGGTGGGGCCTATTCTTCTGCTTTATTTAAACAATTTGTTCCTTTCTCTGTGTTTTTCTTGTCTTTGACCATCATAGTCACCAGCACAAAAGTGCCATTTCAAACCTATCTTTGCTTTCTCTGTCTCAGGTGTAGGGCACTAGTTTGCAATCTTTAAGCAAGAAAGCTGTACCAAGAAATCAATCTGCAAAATATGTCCTGGAGCTCCCCTAGAGATGCCTAGGGCTTATAGTGCTGATGGGGCCTTTGCGCAGCACAGCCTACCGACAATCTGCTGGAGCTCTAAGCAGCAGCTTCATAGCTGAGGTGTCCTCAGTCTCTGGCCCGTAGTGGCTTGGGAGCCACTGCAACACGCTTGAGTCCACAACGACTTCAGAAGTCCACAAAAGGCAGCTGAGAGAAGCCAGCCCCTCACTGGCATGGTTAACCACACTGCACCCGGGTACGTGTTTCCACCAAAACAAAAATAACGGGGCCCAAGCATTGGGAGTAAGGCTGTGTGCCCCCTAGGTGAGCAAACAGGGATGTCACTACAGTAGAATGGAGCACTCATCTACCTACAGCCTTTGGAAAGGTAGAACTTTAGGGCAAGCACCTTCTTATTTTTGTCCTGCTGGTACCACCCCTAGCACCGGGGCCTAGGACTATGCCCTTGGATGCTACAGCAGTAAAAGTACCCTGAGTTTTAAAAGCAGTAACTAGGGAAAAAAAAAAAAGAAAAGTGCTGGTGGGGGTGGATCATCTGAGCCTCCGATGTCAGAGAAAGTGAATGCAGTAAGAGACGTGTGTGTGTCCACCTCCGGCATCGCTCCCACTTCCAAACCTTGGCGCGTGCAGGAGAGGCTGCGCCAGAGGTAGGTGCGTGGGGTGGGATGCGGGGGCCCCCCCAACACCCTTTGCACATGAGTGTGGGCTCTGCACCTGGGGCCGCAGCTCCTTCGCCTGCAGAGCGCCGCATGCCCTGGGACCGCTGCAGGGGGAGGAGGAAAAAGAAAGGAAGGAAGGAAGGATGGAAGAACGAGAGCGGACGCGGCATTGCGCAGCCCTCGGCTCCCGCCGCGGGCGTGGGCCCAGAGGCCCCGGGTCCACCTTAACTGGCGCCGGCCGCGCGGAGAAAGGCTGTGTCTGCAGCGACCTTGCCATGATCTAAAGTGTTTTGTTTACAGTCAGGCACCCCCGATGGCTGCGGCAAACAGGGAGGGAGGGCGGGAGGCCGGGAGGGAGGCCGGGCGCCTGCAGTAGTAGCAGCGAAGCGTGAAAA